CTCCTCCCTGCATGGCATTGTGTGGCACTGGCATTGTGTGGCACGGCGCTTGGGCTGCGCAGACCCTCTCTGTGGTGTAGGGAAGCTGTTGCCCGGGGTTTTTCCTCCTGCCTGGCCAAAAAAACCCGAGGGGGCAAGACAGCCCTAACGCGACCCTGGGGCTGCAAACATCCCCGTGGGCAGCCTGGTGTGTCCTGCAGAGCCAGGGGGAGACGTGCTGCAGTATTCCCCACCTTTCATAATTTCCATTTTAATGGATTTTTTTTTTTCTGCTGTGTGTCAGCTTCCATTTTTCATAGTTAGCTGAGAATATAGAAAAAGGGAGTTTATATATTTTTTCCATCTGCTTTTTATCCCCTCCAGCCCCCTCCCCCAGCTATCTGAGCTCAGCCCGTGCCACTCCAGCCCTGAGAGAGGGGAAGCAGTTTCTCCGCTCCAGACGAAATGCTGCACAATTTATAAAATTAAGTTGGGACAGGAATAGGGATTTTTTTGGCACGACAACTGTTTCTTTCCTCTTTATTCTGGTCAGGTTTGTAGAGCTGCAAACACGGTTTTGACTACTACAGCAGCCTCATTATTTAATAAGCCCTTCTCAGGTGGAGAGGGAGGGAGGGACACGGGGAATATTCATGCCTTCCTCCCTGTGGCTGTTTTAGGTTGCACTGGGGTCTTTGTTTTTTGACAAACGAAAGTTTGACTTGCAAAATGAAGGGAGAAGCTTGTTCATAAGCAACCCTACAACGAGAGCGTGAAGAGCATAGGGCGCTCAGCGGAGAGGCTGGTTCCTGGCAGATTCCCCACCAGATTTACAGCTCAACAATGGGACAAGGAGCCAGGGACAAGGAACCAGGGACAAGGAACCGGGGGCAGAGCCTGACTCCGCTCAAGGCTTTTGGGGCAGTGCTGGGTGGGTTTCCACAGCCCCCTCTGAGCTCCTTGTGCTTACGGCGTTCCGTGTGTCGGACAGCACGGCTCCGGTACCGGCAGGGAGGCGGTGACCTGGGGTGACCAACGGGACCGCGTGCTGTGTCTGTGCTTGAAGCAGAGGTGCCCAGGGCCACGAGAGCCCCTTCTCCGTGGGGAGGCCGGACACATCCGACTGAAGCATTCAGCGCAGTGCCTGCACCAGGCTGGGCACTGCGTCGGGTCCCCGCAGCAGGATGAGGTCTGTCTGCAGCAATTTGTGCAGCTCCCGGCCTGGCCAGTGCCACACGGGGCTGTGCAGGGACCGTCCGGGGCCACGCCAGCGGTCTGAGTGCTCGCAGAGCGGCCGTGGCTTTGCGTGGTCTGTGCAGAGAGCCCCCAGCCCCGGTGGAGCCCCCTCTGAGCACGCCGTCAGGATGGGCGAGGGGCGGGCGGACGGACAGCCGGGCGGGAAGGACGGAGGCCACAGGGCACCTGCTGTGAGGACAGAGGAGCAGCTCCCTGGGTCGGCTCCAAAAAACCTTTTCTAATCATAGCTCTGGCTTCCTGTTTTCCCGCTCCAGCCCGGCAAGGATCGAAGGGGCATTTCAGCTTCCCACGCCGCGGGGTGGCCGCCGGCCGAGCCGTGATGGTGCGGTTTGAGCCGGGGGAGCTGGCTCAAACTGTGGCTGTGTCGGGGTGCTCGGCCGTGGCAGGGGAACACGGGGCCTCCCTGCCCGCCCGCTGCCCTCTTTCCTTCCTGCCTTCATCACGAGGGTTTTTCCCTGCCACAACGTCCTCTTTTGGCCTGGTCTCTCCTCGTGCTGGCTGCTGTCCTCCTGCGCGGCGGTGCCCGGGGTGCTTGCAGGGGCTGCCGACATCCCCCCGTCCTGGGGACACCGGAGTCCCCTGTGTGTCCCGATGCGATGTGTGTAACCCGGGGGTTACCTTCTTGAGCAGCTGCAGCTCTTCGCCTTCGTGTTTCTGCAGACGTGGCACGGGGCAGGGCTCCTGGCCCCTCTGCACGGCTCTGCCTGTGCAGATGAGAGGGGTAAACCTGGCAAACGGACAGAATACGCAAAAATCACGGTTAGGGATATTGCAAGCATCCGGTCTGCTTTGGTCCGGGGTGCCCTGACCTGCCGGAGTGCAGAGTGAGCTGGGACGTCCTGTTCAAGGCTCTTCACGAGCAGCTCCCGTCCTGGCCCCCGGCTCCAGGTCCCTGGAGAAACCCTGCCTGGGAGGGAAGCGGGGCTGGGGAGCAGGACTTGGGGCGGGGGCACCACAATAAAAGTGCAATGGGGCGAGTGGCATGGGGAGTGAGCCCGTGGCAGTGTCTCACGGGGTGCCTGGGGATGCTGTGGGCATCCCTGTGACAGCAGGTGAGGGACGTGAGAGGGAGGCAGGCGCCGATGTTTCCGAGGCAGGTTTTGGAGGGTGTGGGTTCCCGATGCAGGTCCACCTTCACTTGAAACGTTTGCCTTAAAAAGCCAAAATCTGGTGTGTGGGCAGCTGGAAGAAAGGCAAAACGCAGCGGTTTGAGGCAGGGAAGGAAATTTCCACGCAAACCCAGCCGGGATGCTGTGGTGCCCAGGCAGCTGCTGATCCCTGGTCTGTGGTGTCACGGCCCCACAGGGTCCGTGGGCATGGACCTGTCCACAGCTCCCAGCCCCTTGTGCTCACTGGCAGGAGGTTTCTGCCTGCCTGGAGCTTGTCGTCACATCCCCACCAGCCAGTTCCTCTCCCCGTTCCCGCTGCCGCACTTCCTTTGCTCCGGGCAGACGCATTTCCCCAGCGCTGTGGCCGGCGGGGACGTGGCCGTGCCCTGGGCTGACCCGTGCCCGATGCATCTCGCGCCTCGGCCCCGTGCCGGCACCTCTCCGGGGCAGGGTGCATGGGCGAGGCGGGCGGGTGGGGGGTGCTGGGTGCTTGGCACGGTGCTTCGCCAGGAGGCTGGGGGTCGTGGAGGAGCAGCCCTGGGTGCTGTGAGGCTAAAGCTGCCGCTGCCGTGCCCGTGAGATGCAGCGCAGGGCCTGGGCGCTGCAGCTCTGCATGGAGAAGGATGTTGGGTCCCCACCTGTGCCTCAGTTTCCCCAGCCGGTCCTGCCCTCCTTCCGTCTCGCGCCCGCTTCCTGCCACCCGTAGACATCTGGGGACACGCTTTGTGCCACCACGGCCATGGCTGTAGATTTTGAGGTGCGTTAATGTGACAGATGGGCAGCGGGCGAGCGAGGCTGGGTCACAGCCATGTGCCACCGTCCCAGCGGGGACCTTGCCACTCCTGCCCTGTGCAGGCATCGTTTCGATGCGCTCAGAGCTCCTGGCCCTCCCCTGGGGGCTTGCAGCCCCTCGCGAAGCACTCCGAGGCTGCTGCTAGCCCTGGGGATGCTTGCGGGGCTGGGGTCCGTGTCGGTCTGGTTTCTCCCTGCCGCAGGATCCCGGCCGTGGCCTGGTTTCTGTTCCAAATGGAGGTCACCTCCCGGCAGCTTCCTCACCTGGTGAGCTGGGGAAGGCGCTGAGGAGGCTCTGATTGTGCGTTAATCTCTCCGTTCCTGTGTGGCCGCTCGGTTCAGGCTCCCCTGGCCATTGTGCACAGACGTGAGGGTTTATTTGGTTGCTCCAAGCTTGGGTGCAAAGAAAATACCCGTACATGGTGTGTTTGACAACAGCACGGGCTTCATTTATCGATGTGTGATACCTGGGAGAGAGGAATCCGCATGCTCAGAGCCTGCGAGAGGCTGCGCGTCCCCTTGGCTGTCCCCTCCCCGAGGAGCCCTCCTTTACGTTTCGCTGGGGCCTCTTAAATGCCTACCCCTAAACATGCCCCTGCCGAGGTCTGCTGGGCTGGTTTCATGCCTGTTTATGTCAGGCTATTACGTTGTTGTCATTTTCTTGCCGTCCCCATTCAGATGTTTTCTATTAACCAAAGATGGATTTAGAATTAATTTTTCCGAAGTGTTTAGCGTCTCTATAAATCTCCCAGCCCCACTGCAGCGGGGCTTTCCAGGAGCTGAGCTGCTCATGGCTGTTGTAGGTCATTTCGCTTGGTCTTGGGTTTGGTTTTTCTTTCAGCCTGGGCTGGGCTTTGGGTCTGATGCCACCACTGTTGTGTGTGTGCCTTGCTCCGTTCCTGTGCCTGCACCAAAGCTGCACCTCTGGCACTTGCGACCCCTCCTTGAGGTACCAGGGGAGCAGCCTTAATACCTCCAGGGCTTGAGGGATCTGGGGCCTCGCCAGGAGGCATTACAAGCCTGTAATGTGCTCAACCCTTTTATTCCCTCTTCTCTGCCAAACTGCGCCCTGCATCCCCCAGCGCTGGGTGCTTGCTGCTGTCGTGGGGGTCTCAGAGGCAGGCGGATGCTCAGGGCTGCCGTGACCCTGCAGGAATTTGCAGCTGGGAGGACGCCGCTGAGGTCGCAGCCATGCAAACAGGCCCTGCCTGTTCCCTGCCCTCTTTTACAGCCGGGGCGTTGCCACCCGCAGCGCTTCACAGCTCCCCCAGCCCTCACCAAGCTTCGCCCCAAGGCAAGCTGTGTCCCTGCTGCCCCGGCCCTGCGTGGGCACCAGGGCTTTGTGGGCAGCGCTGTGGGAGCCCCAGCAGGTGCCTGGTGGCCACCAACGTGGTCGGATTTTGCCTGGGAGCGTTGTGGTGTGGCTGCTCATCCCCTGGCGATGTGCTCTGCATGGCAAACGAGCTGCTGGTGGCCCCGGGGGTTCCTGCTCCACTCCCTTCTCCCCGCTTCCTCTCCTCCTTGAAGGCTTTTCTAGGAAACCGTCGCCTGGAAATCACGTTGTTATCAGATGTGCTCCTAAAAGAGCCCTTTGCAGCATGGTGGCGTGGCTCAGTGCTTGCGGAGCGCGCGTGCACGCAGAGATGCTTCTCCGGGGATTTGGGGCTTCGTCGGCCTCGTGCCACCGGTGCGGCTCCAGTCCCGCGGCAAATTGCAACGCTGGGGAGAGGTGCAGAGCCCGGGGGCTCCTTCACCCTGAGAGGCCAGCGGGTGAATGCTGTTGGGTCAGGAAGGGCCAGACCCGTCCCCTGCCCGCACGGCCCCGCAGGGAGGTGGGAAGGAGCCGTGCTGGCTGCCGCCGCCCCGTAACACGCCTGTCTGTCCCCGCAGGATGGCGGAGCCTCGCTTCAACAACCCCTACTTCTGGCCGCCTCCTCCCACCATGCCCAGCCAGGTAAGACCCCCACGACGCCGTGCCTCAGGATGGGTTTTTGGGGCAGGAGGGAGGACAGATGGAGGTGGGGATGTGGGAAGGGGTGGGCAGGTTGGGGTGCACCTGGGGAAGGCCTGTTAGAGCCAGTCCTGTGCTCAGCCCTGGGGTTCTGGCTCCTTCACCCTTCACCTTCTCCCTGCTTTGTTCCCCTGGCAGCTGGACAACCTCGTCCTGATCAACAAAATCAAGGAGCAGCTGATGGCAGAGAAGATCCGTCCCCCACACCTGCCCCCCACCTCCGTGGCCTCCCAGCAGCCCCTCCTGGTGCCCCCCTCTCCTGCCGAAAGCAGCCAGTCCATCATGTCCCTCCCCAAGCTGCAGCAAGTCCCGGGCCTGCACCCGCAAGCTGTCCCCCAGCCCGATGTGGCCCTGCACGCCCGGCCGGCCACCAGCACTGTCACAGGTACCCACACGGGCATTGGTGGCCCCCAGCAGCACAGGAGGGGCTTGAGGCATTGAGGAGTCCCTGTTTTGGGACCCTGCTGTCTGTAGGGATGCTCGGACACAGCAGTGGGCTGTGAGAGAGGGCAGCGGGGTGGGCATTAACGCCTGCCTTTCTTTGCCTGCCAGGGTTGGGGCTGGCCTCCCGTGCGCCCGCCGTCAGCACCTCTGAGTCCAGCACAGGCACGGGCACCACCACCCCTTCCACCCCCACCTCCACCAGCCAGAGCCGCCTCATCGCCTCCTCGCCCACCCTTATCTCAGGAATCACCAGCCCGCCCCTCCTCGACTCCATAAAGACAATCCAGGGCCACAGCTTGCTGGGGGCACCCAAGACGGAGCGGGGCCGCAAGAAGATCAAGGCGGAAAACCCTTCGGGGCCGCCCGTCCTTGTGGTTCCCTACCCCATCCTGGCCTCGGGGGAGACCGCCAAAGAGGGGAAGACGTACAGGTAGGCAGCACCCGCAGGGAGCCGCGGTGCCCGGCCGTGCCGCAGACGGGGGGGTGCAGCAGGGGGGCCTGGCACGGCGTCCTGCCCCAGCCCGGCCCCTGCGGTGCTCTCCCCCTCCAGGTGTAAGGTCTGCCCCTTGACGTTCTTCACCAAGTCGGAGATGCAGATCCACTCCAAGTCACACACAGAGGCCAAGCCCCACAAGTGCCCCCACTGCTCCAAATCGTTCGCCAATGCCTCTTACCTGGCCCAGCACCTGCGCATCCACCTGGGCGTGAAGCCCTACCACTGCTCGTACTGCGAGAAGTCCTTCCGCCAGCTGTCCCACCTCCAGCAGCACACCAGGTGACGGCACGGCATGGGGTTTGGGGTGTCCCTTCAGCCCATTTTTCCCTGGTGGGGTTGGGTGTGCACTCGGCATGTGCTGCCTTCCTCATCTGCACCTCCCTGATCGCCGCCCCACCTTCCTCATCCCTAGCTGCAGCCTCCAGCCCCCCTGCCTGTCCCTCAACTCTCTGGGTCTCAGCCCTGGGGTCTCCCCTTTCACCTGTGCCCCCTTGGGCCCCCTGTCACCTGGCAAGGCAGTGACCTTGCAGTTCCTTTGAAGCAGAGGCACGTGGCCATCGCTGTCCCCAGCTGTGGTTCTCCCACCTAGCGTGGGAGCAGCGTCTGCCCCGGTGGGTGCCGGGGGCTTTGCAGGGGGTGAGGGTGGCGGGAGCTCCCCAGCCTTGCTGGGGGCGGCAGACTGACTTGTCCCCCTCCTGTTTCGCCTGTCTCTGGCTCAGAATTCACACCGGTGACAGACCCTACAAGTGCCCGCACCCCGGCTGCGAAAAGGCGTTCACACAACTCTCCAACCTCCAGGTCAGCACTCTGGGGACATCACGGGAGTGGGGACAGAGCCCTAAACACCTCCCCCCGCCCCCGGGGATTGAACCACGGGGAGGGCTCAGAACGGGGAGCACTGTTGCGGGGCTGGGACCCGATGCCTGTGGCTGCTGGGGCTCTCCTGGCCCCCTGGCCCCAAAACCCTTCCTCATGCCCGCTGTTTTGCAGTCTCACCAGCGACAGCACAACAAGGACAAGCCCTACAAGTGCCCGAACTGCTACCGGGCATACACGGACTCGGCCTCGCTGCAGATCCACCTCTCGGCGCATGCCATCAAGCACGCCAAGGCTTACTGCTGCAGCATGTGCGGTCGCGCCTATACCTCGGTGAGCGGGGCCGTGGGGAGCACCAGGGGGATGGGGGGGGGCACGGACCCCCAACTTTGCCACTCACCCTTTCCGTCTGCCCTGCAGGAGACCTATTTGATGAAGCACATGTCCAAACATACCGTGGTGGAGCACCTCGTGAGCCAGCACTCACCTCAAAGGACGGAGTCCCCCGGCATCCCCGTGCGAATCTCACTCATCTAAGCAGGCTCTGCCCGCTGGCCGCCCTCCCTCCCGGCTCCACTGCCGTCGGGGGCCCTGCGGAGGCCGTGGTGCCACGTCCGGACCCCCCGCTCCGCACCCCCCTGCCCGCCGAGCGGCCCTGGCAGCTTGGCGGGGAGCCGGTGGATGCGGCCACGCTTTGGAAACGTGCCCGGGCCCCCACGCCCCCGGCCCGGCCCCCGGGGCTGCAGGTTTGGTGACATCCAAAGACGGTTTCAGAGCACTTTGAATCTCTGTGTTGTTTTTTTTTTTTTGGGGGGGGGGAGGGGAGGCGAGGGGTCTTCTCCTTTGGTTAGTCCCTGCCCCGTCTCTCATTTTGGATACAAATATATATATATATTTATTGGCCAAGAAGTTGGTGCTGCTAAAACAGAAAAGGAAATAAGACACAAAACGAACCGCGGACCAAGATGAGCGCCGGATGGCGAACAGGGGCTCGGGCCCCCTGCTGCAGCCCCTTCCTCCCCTGGACTCTCGCTCGGAGCCACGGCTGGAGAGGGGAGCTGGCAGGACGCGGCCGAGCAGGCACGGCAGCAGGACGGGCACCGCGGCGGCCGCTGCCTCCTTGGGACTCTTCGGTTGGTTTTGGTTTTATTTTTAACAATGTTTTCCCCTCTGGGCTCTCTCCTCCCACGCTGGACTCCGTTGCCGGGAGCAGAAGAGGCCCCGGCGGACACTGGGTGCGGGGCTGCGTGGCTTTGGGGCGAAGCCGGTGGGGGGGAGCCCCGCTCCTCTGCCGCCCCCGGGGGGCTGGATGCGGCCCCCCCCCCTCCGCAGGGCGCCGAAGGCAGCGGGAGGGCAGCGCTTTGCCTTGTGCTGGCCCCGGGCGCGTGTACATAGACCCTTGTATAGAGCCGGGGGGGGCCCTGCTCCCTGCGGAGAGACTCGACAGAAACTCATCTATATTATGTACTCTTTGGTTCCGTTTTGGATATTAACTGTGTTATTTTTTTATACACTTTTTAAGCCTTAACTCATTGTTTTGCCAGGGTGTTTATTACCTTCTGTTTATTAATTTGAGTTCCCGCAGCCTTTTTCCCCCACCCTGTGTCCATCCTGCCTCTGGTTCCTTGTTTCCGACTCGATGTTGTACGATACTCAATATTGTAATCTTTTTTGTCAGCATGTTAATACTGTGTAAATATGCCTCTTATACACACTGTTAACACCCTCCTCCCTTCCCCTGCCCTGTTTTGGGGCTTTTTTTATTTTCCTCGATGGAAATCCAGGCCACACGTCCCTAGAGCTAGTTACTACCTTATTAAAAAAGGAAAAAAAAAAAAAAAAAAAGTGGGAAAAAAAGAGAAAATTAAAAAAAAAAAAAACTCCCCCCTCCTCCCTGTCTTGCATTGTGGTTCACGGAGAAGCTGGGGGGAGGCCGTGGCCTCGCCGGGAGCGTTTGCGGTCTGTTGAAAAATGAGTGAAACCCCCCAAACTGGCGCCTGTTTTGAAAGAAAAAAAAAAAAAGACGAATAAAACAAAACAAAACAACAATCTGCTCTTTGTATCACTGTTGTGAAAGACAGAAAAAAAAAAAAAAAAAAACTGTTAATAAATCTGTACGTGCAACCTTTGGCCGGGCTGTGGGTGTGTGATGGGTGCCCGGGGTCTCCCCCCACACCACTGCCAGGTCCCGGGGTCCCTGTGCCACCCCAGCTGGTCACACCTGGGGACAGCGCCTGCCCCCTGCCCTGCAGGGCCCTGGAGGCAGCGCGGTGCTGGGGGGGCTGCTGTGGAGCACCCCAACAGGCACCCTCGGGGCCATGTCCCCAAGGCCACCAGCTCGTTTCTGAGGGGACAAACCCAGGGGACCGGGGGTGGCCGGAGCACCACGGGCTGGCAGGAGGCTGCCCAGAGGGCTCCCTACAGGGTCTTGGGGCTGAGGTGGGGACACACAGAGCCCCCAGCGTTGCTGGGGCACCACGCAGGAACCAGCTCCAGGACTCACGGCCACCATGGGCACCCCCCCCCCCCCCCAGGAACACCAGCTCTGGGGCTGCCATCTCCATGGCCACCAGCTCCGGGGACACGGCACTACCGCAGCCACCAGCTCCAGGGACTCCTCACCATGGCCACGGGCTCCAAGGACACCAGCTCCAGGCCCCCCTGTTTAGGGTGCACACGATTTGGGGGCCTGCAGCCCAGGTGCAGCCCCAGGCACTGGGATTTTGGGGCCTGCCAGCACCGTGGAAGGGACGCAGGCAGCTGACTGCCCTCGGGCCCCAACTTCATTTTGGGCTCCAGCAGAGACCTGAGGGCCAGAGAGGAGCCCGGGTATCAGGGTCACCTCCAGGGTGCCACCCAGCAGCACGCCTGGGGCTGGTCCCCTGCCCCACGTGGTCCTCCTGTCATAGAACCAGAACCATCAAGATTGGACGAGATCTCCACGATCCCCTGGTCCAACCATCCCCTACCACTGTCACCCACTGAATCCTGTCCCCAGGCACCACGTCCAACCTTTCCTTGAACACCCCCAGGGATGGTGACTCTACCACCTCCCTGGGCAATCTGTCCCAACGCCTGACTGCGCTTTCTGAGTGGAAACGTCTCCTCATTTCCAACCTGAACCACCCCTGGCACAGCTTGAAGCCGTTCCCTCTGGTCCCATCGCTGGTTACTTGTGAGAAGAGGCCGACCCCAAGCTCCTTCAGGTAGTTGCAGAGCACTGAGGTCTGCCCTGAGCCACCTCATCTCCAGCCAAGCACAACAGGGATGTCCCAAACCAACCCTCAGGGGTTAGGACGTGATCAGAGGATGGAGGTGACACCAGGCCCTCCCGTGCACCCTACACCCAGGGAAGGGCAGCCCCAGCTGGTGGCAGCCCCAGGCCCTGGGGGGTACCGTGTCCGTGTTTACCCACCCACGAGGCGCGAGGAGGACATAAAGCATGCAGGGGGAGGGTTGGTTTTTTTTTTCAGTGTTTATTAAAAACAAAAACAGGAAAAAAGGGTTGTGGTTTCTGTGTTTTTTCCTTTTTTTTTTTTCTCTTTTCTTAGAAAGACTGGTGGCCAGCAGCAGCGACAGCGAGGGCTGGGGGGATCCTTACCTGCCTTGGGGGGCTGAACCCCCACTGCCGCCGTCCTCTACTAAGGTGCCCCCAAAACAGCCCAGGGTGGGGGCGACGCCTTTTCCACGAGGCACCCCGAAACACCCCTTGGGGGGCTACAGCCCCCCTGTCAGGTCCTGGCAGGGCCACACATTAAGGCAATCGTCCTGCTTCACCCTGCCTTTCTGGGGGGCGCGGGGGCCCTCCCTGCCGGAGAAGGGGCCACCCCACGGGGCACACCCAAGGGGAAGCTATCGCTACGGGCTATGTACACACCCCTGCAGCAGAGCTGCACCCCGGCCTGGCTGCGGGGCGCAGGGGAGCTGCCCTGGGGCTGTTTGTGCTCAGCAAGTGGATCCCCCCCTGCCCTCCCTCCCCATCCCACCCTGCAGCCCCCCAAACTGGGCAGGGATGAGGGGGGGGCACGGGTCCCCCCTCCCCACCCCGCCAGGAGCGTTCGTGCAGGCCGGCAGCCGTGGCTCTAGGAGTCCTTGAGCATGCTGATGCGGGCGTAGATCTTGAGGGCAGGGCCCAGTTTGATGTTCATGGTGCTCATGAGGTGGTCCTCCTTCAGCAGCAGCAGCGCCTGCCCGTCAATCTCCTGCGCCCTGAACTCCTCTGCGATCTCCTGGCAGCCTGCGAGGACGTGGCCACGTTCAGTACCACCCCAAAAACCACTTGTGCCCCCCCCCCAAGCCCCTTCCTACCCCTGCTCCTCACCCGGCAGCGAACGGATGAACTCAGTAGACGTCCTCCACGTTCCACTTGCTGGGCTCACTGGGCAGGAAGCGATGCCCGATGCCCGCCAGGTCCCGCATGTGCATGTCAGGCAGCTCCATGTCGCGCAGCTCGAGGTCGCGGTCGCCCTGGCGCCGGCGCGAGGTGGACGAGCTGGCTGAGATGGGGGACAGCGGCTCCTCGTAGCTCGAGTTGTCCGAGCAGCGGCTCGAGTCCTCCTGGCTGTGGTTGAGCTGCAGTGACGCCGTCACAGAGAGAGGCACCGAGCCCGTCGGGAGAGAAACCGGCGTCTGCAGGACGGAGCGACCGGGCAGCACCGGCCTCGGAGCTCGCCCGCCTGCGCTCCCCCAGCTTTGGGGACAAGTCACGCCCACCCCCTCCTCACCTGCTTCTTGGTGTCTTTGCTCAGGGTGGGCACCTTGCAAGTGCGGCGGCGCCCGTGCGGGGGGCCACCGGGTTTCTGCAGCTTGCTGCGGTCGGGGTGGAACAAGCCCACGCGCTTCGTGCACCCCACATTGTACCTGCACAGGAGAGGGAGTGAGAGAGTGGGGCTGGGGGAACCTCCAAAGGGTGCATGGGGAGGGGGCTGGCCCCCGAGTTACCTCTTAGCACAGGCCATGGAACAGAAGCGCTTGGAGCGCTTGAACTTGTAGGCGAAGTCGACGCGGCCGCAGAGCTCGCACTTCAGCTTCGGGGGGTTCCCCTCCTCTTTGGATTCTGGGGGGCGCGGAGGGACACCCAGAGAGAGAAACGCAGCCAGCTCAGCCGCGGGCGGGGAACGGGGGGGTGGGGGGGGGAGAGGGAGGGAGAAGCCGGTGCCCCCTCCCCGCTGTGCTCGGCTCGGGGGGCCGGGCGCTACCTTGCATGTAGGGCTCCTCCATTTCGGAGTCGGTGGTGGTGGTGTTGTCCTGCTGCGGGAGTTTCTCGGCCAGCAGCTCCTGCGCATACTTCTTCTTCAGGTTCCCCACCAGCAGCGAGGACCGTCCCACCTGCGGGAGGGGCGTCAGCGGGGACCCCGGCCCTGCCGCGGGGGCGCACCGGGAGCCCCGACGGGGAAGGAGGAGGAGGAGGAGGAGGAGAGGAGGCCGCGGGCGGCCCACGCGTACCGGGAACGGCTCTGCCCCCTCCTGGATGACGAACCCCTCGATAACGTGCGTCAGGATCTGGGGCTTCACTATGGCCTGGGGCGGTTTGTTCTCACCATTGTGCGGGGCAGCGCCGGCGACGGTGGAGGCAGAGCTCCCGTTCCCCGAGGTCATGCCGGGAGCGCTGGCGTCGGGCTGCGCATGAACGCGGTCGGCGCCCGGCTCTGCGGGGGCGAGGCCGCCCGTCAGCCCCGGGGGAGCCCCGGGGGGGCCGCGCTGACGCCGAGCGACCGGGCCCCGGCCGCCCCCTCCCCGCCCCCGCCGCTCCCCCCCCCCCCCCACCCCCGGGGCCGCCGCCAGGGCCCCCCCCCCGCGGCCTGGGCCCGGGCCCCGCCGAGGCCGCGCCCCGCCCGCCGCCCCCCCCCAGCCCTACCTGCGCCCGGGCCGCGGCGGCTCCGGGCCGGGGGCGGATGCGGAAGTGAGGTCAGCGCCCGCCGGGCCGGGCCGGGCCGGGCCGGGCCGAGCCGGGGCGGTGGCGGCGGGGCGGGGCGGGGCGGGGCCGGGCGGGCACTCACCGGCGGCGCTCAGCGGCGCGGCGGCCCCGGCGGCGCCATGGCGGGGACAAAGGCGGCGCGGGCGGCGCTCGGCGGCGGCGGCGCGGGGACAAAGGCGGCGGCGGGGCCGGGCCGGGCCGGGGCGGCGGCGGCGGCTGCGCGGGGCGGGGCGGGGCCGGGCCGAGGCCACGCCCCCGAGCTCCCATTGGCCGCCGCCGCCAACGAGCGCGCGCATGCGCACAGCGCCGCCGGGGCGGGGGAGAAACCCCCCGGGGGAGGGGCACGGAAAGAGGCGGGGCTTCGGGAGGGGGCGTGGTTATGCAAATGAGGGGCGGGGTTTATGTAAAGGGGGCGGGGCCTCCCCAGCGCCGTGCCCCCGGTCTCGCCCCGCAGCGCCGCGCCCCGCCCCCCCCGGCGCTTACCGTGGGCCGGGGGCCGCTCGCCCGGGGGGGCCTCGGGGCCCGGGGGGGCGGCGGGAGGCGGCGGCTGCGGGGCGGGGGGCTGCGGCGGGGCGGCGGGCGGGCTCTCAGGCGCTCCTCTCGGCGGGCGGCGGGTCCCGGCGGGCGCCCTCGGGGATGCCGAGCGGGGGCTGCGGCGGGGACAGCGTCAGCGCCCCCCCCCGGCACCGGGGCACCGCGGCGGGGGCCCGGTGGGTGGGCACGGGCACGGGCACGGGCACGGCGGGACGGTGCCAAACCCCGACGGGGCACCCGCGCAGTGAGTCGTGCCCATGTGCAATGCACGCACCGGGGGGGGCAGCGGGACCCCCGTGTGCCCCTGTGCACCCGGACCGGGGCAGTGCCCGGACACACGCGTGTGTATGGGGGGGCCGCATGCACACCCACGTGCACCTGCCCGCACCAGGCGTGCCCCCCCATGCACCCCTCGCACAGACCGGGACCCCCCCCGTGCCCCCCAGCTCTCGCCAGCCGGGCAGGGGGCACCGGGGGACCGGGGGGTGGGGGGCCCTCACCGTGGCACCGGCGGGCTGCAGCTGCAGGATGACGGCGGAGGCGTGCTGGAACTTGCGAGGGGCCCCGTGGCAGCCGGGGTGCCCGTTGGGGGCAGCGCCATCAGCCCCGGCACCGTGGGGGACCCCCGGGCTGGCCCCCGCTTTGGGTGGGGGCACCGGGCCGGGGCTGGCGGGGGGCAGCGGCTGGAGCTGGGGGGCGGCCGGCCCCGGGGGGGGCTGCCCGCGGGGCGCTAGCTGCTGCTGCTGGATGACAAACTGCTGCTGGATCGGCTTCGGCGGCTGCTGCAGGAACTGGGGCGGCTGCAGTGGGGCGTAGGCTGTGGGGACAGGGCCCGCGGCATCGTCACCGGCGCCTCGCCCCCAGCGCGGCTCCCCCGGCTCAGCTTGGGGCCCCCTCCCGCAGAGGCTGCGTCCGGCCTGGCACCCGTTCACCCCGGTGCCTCGGGACAACGGTGCCGGCGGCTGCACCGGCTCCTGCTGCTTGGTGGCCAGGGCTGAGGCTGTCCCGACTGGGGTCCCCGCTTTGGGGGGCACCTCAGCACAGCACCCCGAGGCTCGGTCACCCCAGCAGGGTGCTTGGTGCCCAGGGCGCAAGCAGCCTTCACCCCGGTGGGCGAGCTGTGGGTAGGAACCTCCTCGCCCCTCTGGCCTGCAGCCTCACTGCCCCGCCAGCCCTGGACCCGGGATTTCTAGTCGAGGGCCATCAGTAGGCTTCAGAGTGAACCCCCCGCAGGCTGGCCCTGTTTGCTCCACCCAGGGCTGGGCTTCCAGAGGAGCTGCAGGTCCTGCGCAGGCCCTACAGAGCCCACCATTAGTCTCCAGGGTGAACGCCCTGCAGCCTCCCTTCCTGTCACTCCTTCCTGTGTGTCCCCCCCAGGCCCCTGCCACCCCCCCGGCGCAGAACCTTACCTGGGGTGACGAGCGGGTGGGTGGTTGCGGGGGCGGCGGCGCGGGCCAGGGGGTGGGTACGGGCCTCGGGGCCCTCGGCCTTTTTGAGGTGGTCGCCAGGGGTATCAGGTGGGGGGACCCGGGGGGGGGCGGCCCGGGGGGAGCCACCGGGGGGCTTCATGGCGAGGGCGGGGAGGTGGGGGCCGGCGGGGCGCAGCGCCAGGCTGTGCACCTGCAATGGCAGCAGGTCAGCGGGGGGAGCTGGCAAAGGGGCAGGAGGGACAAAGGGGTGCCGGGAGGGCCTTATCCCCTCACCGGGGGGCTCACCTGGGGGGCAGCGGGTGGTGGGGCGGGCGGCGGGGCCGGTGGTGGGGCAGGCGCGGGGCTCTCGGGCCGGACGGCGCTCACGGGGCCCGTGGGCGTGAAGATGAGCTGGGGGGGAGAGAAGAGTGGGTGCACGGCCCCAGTGCGTGGGGGTGGCACCCTACACGTGTGTGTGTCCCCAAAACATCCGCATGGGGTGGCAGAAGCATGGGGTATGATCATGGGTGCCCATATCAGAGGCACCTTGAGGGGTCTGGGCACCCCTAGTGCTGTGGGGAACACCCCATAGGGTGTAGGCATCCCATGGGGTCTGCTACCCCTTGTCCAGGGCAAAGGGCACCCTCCTGGGGCCAGGCACCCTACAACAGGCCTATGGGTACCCTCTGGAGTCTGGGCACCCCGTGGTGAGGGCGAGGGGCACCCTGTGGGGTCTGGGCGTCTATTGGGGTCTGGGCACCCCTAGCAGGGTGAAAGTACCCCATGAAGTCTAATGCTCCTTAACCCCATAGGATGGACGCCCTACACAGCCTGGGCACCCCCCAGCAGTGTGGGGCACACTCTGTAGGGCCTAGGTGCCCAGTGGGGCCTGGACACCCCAGGGTGGAGCAATGGGCACCCTATGGGGTCTGAAGACCCCAGAGGAGGGTGTGGGTACCCTGTGGTGTTTGGGCACCCCCAGCAGTGCCACGGGCATCCTATGGGCTCAGGTGCTCCCTATGGGTGCACCCCACAGCAGCGTGACAGGCACCCTGTGGAGCCTGGACACCCCACAGCAGGATAAAGGGCTCTCTATAGGGACTGGTTACCCCATGGTGGAGCGATGGGCACCCCACTATGTCCAGGCCACCCCGCAGTATGGCAAAGGGGACCCTTCACCATGGGCCTTTGCACATCCTAAAGGTTCCTGCACGGTGGGTGCCAAGCTCCTGCAGGTACCCTATGGGTCCTGGCAGCCCCGTGGCACGCTGCCGGCCACCCCGTGGGTCCCGGCCACCCCCCAGTGCCATGGGGCAGGGCACCTCTTACCATCTGTGCCCGCAGGTACATCTGGGCCTGGCTGGCGGTGAGGGCGGGCGAGGCGGCGTTGCCCAGCAGCACGGCTTGCTGCGCGATGCCCGACGCGCCGGGGGCGACGCTCTGCGCCCGGTTCAGGAGCTGGGCGGCCGCTGGCGACGTCGCCAGGTTGATCTGCAAAGAGGGGGGCGGCGGGAGAAGGCCGGGCTGCTGGGCCGGGGGGGGCCGTGCCAGGGCAGCGGGGTTTACGGGGCCGGGGACTCACCGTGGGCTGCTGCGCCGGTGCCGCCTGAGTGCCGTTGGCACCCGAGGAGCCGCTCTGCCTGTTGGCCGCCAGGCTGGCCTGTGGGAGAAGGAGCAAAGCGTCACCGAAACCGCAGCACCCACTGGGTGCCCCTGCGGCGTGCCGGGTGGGGGCGAGGGGGGCGCCGTACCTGCTGCACGGCCGCCAGGCTCTGGAGCTGGGCGCTGGTGAGGTGCTGCTGCTGCAGGGCGGCCGTCTGCAGCATCAGGTGCTGCTGCTGCGCGGCGTACATCTGCTGCAGGTACTGCGCCGCCGTGTTGGGCTGCCGGTGCAGCGCCTGCTGGATCACCTGCGGGGCGGCGGCGGCGTCTCCAAAACGCCCACCCTGCCCCCGGCCCCCTCTGTGACGCCGGGAAGCATCGCCCTTTAACCAGGACCCCCCCAGCGCCCGGGGGTTTCTCTGTTCTGAACCCAGTGTCGGACCTGACCTGCTCCAAGCCTGACCCGGCCCCGTTTTTGGGTTTGTTTCCCACGTTCTGATTACGGAACGCATTCCCAAATCAAATTCCCGAACGGCTTCCTAAATATTTCGGGTATCTTCCTGCCGGCCGCCACCCTACCTGGACGGTCTGGCGGTCAGGGATGCTGCTGTAGACGGAGATCTGTGGGGCGGGCGGGCGGCCGGTGCCGGTGCTGCTGGGCGTCGTGCCGGTGCCGCCGGCGCTGCTGGAGGGCGGCTGCGGGGGTGCTGGGAGCTGCTCGTTCTCCATGGTGGCCGGCCGGGGCCGCGCGAGGCGGCGGGGTCAGGCTAGAGCTGGGTGGAGACGGAGAAGGGTGAGGGAGGCACCTCCCAGCGGGGATCCCCGGGGTGGGGGGCCCAAGGGTGCCAGCTGGGGTCCCCCCCAGCCTCGCGCCTCCACCCCGCTCCCGGCGCCTTCCTGCGGCGAGGCGGCACTGCAAAGGTGGTGGCGGGGATCCCAGCCCCCTCCCTGCTGCTTCCTGCCCCCAGGCCCGGCTGGGGGCTGGGGGGGGCCCCCAGGGGTTCCCAGTTCACGCGGCTGGGGCTGGGGGAGCGGTGCCGGGGCGCTGGGGGCAGCCTCAGGGTAGCTGGGATGGAGGGCGGGCGGCGGGACAGAGGGACACAGGGCTGGGTGGAGGGACAGAGGGACGGACAGAGCCAAGCGCCGAGGCTCCCACTGCTCCTCTGCCCCTCAGCCCCCCGCAGATCTGGGCAGGAGCCTCCAGGGCTCCGGAGGCCCCCCAGCCCCCAGCGTCTGGGTGCCCCCATCCTTGGGGTGCCACCAGCGCGCCCTGGCTGCACCCTGCCTGAGTGGCGGGATGGGATGGGAATGGGACGGGGACGGGATGGGACGAGGAGGGGACGGGACACAGACAGGGACGGGACGAGCCTCCAGGCACTGGGGGAAAGGGAAAAGTGCTGAGGGGACGGAGGGAAGGACGGGCAGAAGGAAGGATGGACAGAAAGATGGAGAGGAGTGGGAATGGTGAGGGGAAGGAAGGATGGAGGGCCGGACGGACAGCGGGATGGAGGAAAGGGATGTGGGGAGGATGTAAAGGACAGAAGGAAGGGAAGGGGGAGGACAGACAGAGTGACGGATGGGAAGCCCGGACAGGAAGGGAAGGGATGAGGGGAGGGAGAGAAGGAAAGAAGGAAGCAGGAAAGGGACAAAGGACAGGAGGGATGGGGACGGGTGGAAGGAGGGATGGAAGAAGGATGGGAGGGATGGACAGATGGAAGTGGGGAAGGGAGGGAGGAAGGAAGGAGGTGAAGGGAGGAAGAACAGCCAGGAATGGAGGGACAGACGTAAGGGACAAAGGGATGAGGGATGGGGACGGAAGGAAGTAGGGAAGGGACGGGAGGAAGCAAAGAGAGGAAGGGAGGGAAAGGTGGATGGATGTAGGCATGGGCTGAGGGGGGAGGACAGACAGAAGGACAGACAGGAGGAAATGGGAAAGGGGCGAAGGGAAGGACAAGGAAAGACAGAATGACAGACAGAGGAAAGGAACAAACGGACAGACGGATGGGAGGGAAGGGACAAAGGGAGGGAAGGAGAGAAGGAAGGACAGACTGAGGGACGGAGGAGAGAGGAAGGGGACAAAAGGAGGGCGGGAGGGTGGGGAGAAGGAGGTAAGAAAGGGATGAAGGGAGCGAGGGAAGAGGGACGGACAAAAAAGGCAGGGATGGACGAAAGTACAGAGGGGGGCAGGGACGGACGGACAGAGGGGACGGGATGGAAGTACAGAAGGGATGAAGGAACTGGGACAGGGGTGGAAGGAAGGAGGAAAAGCATAGAAGGAAGGACGGATAAAGACGAAGGGAGGGAGGGAGGGAAGGACAGACAGAAGTAGGAAATGTCCGAATGGGGGAAGGAAGGACAGAGGGATGACAGGACAGGAGTGGCACAGGGTGCGGGGAGGGAACGGCAGCAGGGAAGGAAAGGGCCGAAGGCTGGGAGGGGAGGACGGGGGACAGAAGGGGTGGAAGGAGAGGAAACGAAGGAAGAAAGGATGGATGGAGGGGACAAAGGGAAGGACAGAAGGAAGTGGGCAAGGGACGGACGGGAGGGATGGAAGGGCAGGAGGAGGACAGGGACGGAGGGCGCTGGGTGCTGTCAAGGCCGCAGGGAGGTCCCAGGGCAGCAGCAGGACGGAGCAGGAGCAGCTCCAGCACCTCCAGCACCACCGCGGCCCCAGTCGGTGCCAGCCCCATGCCCACGCCACCAGGCCATGGCCACCGGGACACGGTGGCTCCACCGCCTCCACTCACAGCCACCGCGTTCTGGCACTCCCAGAGGTGCCAAGAGGCCTCCGGCCACCTGCCCGGTGGTGGCCCCGCCACACGTCCCGGCCGAGCCCCTGGAGGTGCCACCACGGTGGGCGCCACCAGGGCGGGTGCCATGGCCAGCACCAGGGACAGCGGCACCGGGTGCTCCACCATGGACAGCGGCCACAGTGGCCACGGCGGGTGGCCCTGGTGGCCACAGCAGGTGACCCCGTTGGCCACGCCATGGCACGGCACAGACACAACCCGGCACCGTGCCCCGGTGCCAGGTCCAGGGGATACGGCAGCAGCGCCGTGTCCCGGCTTCGGTGGCGCCTGGCTGCCCGCAGCGCCGCATCCCCGGAGGGCGCCGCTGCCCCGACGCTCACGGGGACGCCGCCAGCGCGTGGCTCCGGTGCCACGGTGCCCGGGCACGGCTCCCGAGGCCCATCCCTGCTCCACGGCCGGTGTCGCTGTCCCCGCTGCCGCTTCCTCCCGGTGTCACCGCCGCAGGGCCACGTCGCCTCGTGTGGCTCCCCAGCTCCGCTCGCTGCCACGTGTCCGCCGTGTGCCGGTCTCGACGCCGCCTGGGCGGGAACCGCGCTCCGTGCTCCGTGCTGAGCGGCTGCGCTGCCTCGTCCGGCTGCTGAGCAGCGGGTGCCGGTCCCGGTGGCACCGGGGCCTCGGGGACACCGCCACCGGCACCGGGCAGGGGGTGACGGTTTGGGGGCGGCCGCACTGGGCCCTGCCGGAGCTGGAACCACACCGAGGGGCGCCCCCAGGACCCCCGCTTCGGGCCCCGGAGCCTCCCCGGCGGGAGGCGAAACCGGGGTGCGGAGGGGACCGGAGGAAGGGGGGGGGAGGGAGGACCCGGGGGGGGCGGCGGGCGGGGGGAGCCGGGGAGGGGGGAGAGGAGGGGGGCGGGGCGGCGCTGCCGGTGCCCGCGGGGCGCTGCCGGCGGCCGGGGCCGTGCCGGGGCGGGCGGGGGGAAACTGAGGCACGGCGGCGGCGGCGGCCCCGCGGCCACACGGACGCGTGCGCGGCGCGGCCCGGTCCCGCCCCCCCCCCTCCCGGTCCCGGTCGCTCCCAACCCCTCCCCGCCGCCTCCCCGGACCAGACAAAGCCGCCGGGGCCCCGAGGCGCGGCGCGGCGGTCCCGGTACCTGCGGCCCCGCGGCCCGGGCCGAGCGGCTCCCGCCGGCCATGACGGAGGCGCCTCCGGGGGCTGCGGCCGCGCGGGCCGGCGGGGGCGGGGCGGGGCCGGCGGGAGGGGCGGGGCCGGCGGCGGAGGGGGGCGGGGCCCGGCGGGGAGGGGGCGGGGCCGGGCGGGGCGGGGCGGGGCCGGGCGCTGCCTGGGGGCGGAGGGCGGCCGCGGCTCATTTGCATGTCACGTGCTCCGCGCGTCCAATCGGCGCCCGGCCGGCCCGGCCCGGACACGCCCCCCCCCCGCGCCTCGCGCCCGCCATGGCAACGGGACGGGAGGGTGGGGGTGGGGGGTCGGGTCGCCATGGCAACGGGGGCGGGGCTGCCCGCGCGCTGCCCCGGGAGCTGAGGGGGCGGGGGGGGGGGGGCGAGGTTTGCGGGGGGGCACCGGGATTGGCAGGGGGGGCTCAGTTCTGCGTCTGCGGCTCAGGGCTTGCAGCAGGCACTGGCGGCTTGGCGGCTCCCGGGGGGCCGCACAGGGTGCGGGGGCTCCCACCCAGCCCGAGGCTGCCACCGGGGGCCGGGACCCCCCCCCGGGCTTCGCTGCAGCCGCCAGGAGGGGGCGATGCCCGCCCTGCCATGCCCGGCTCGGGGCGGCACAAGGAGCCCTTCTCCTTTTTTCTCCCTTTCTCCCCCCCGTTTATTTTATTTTATTTTTTATTTTATTTTATTTTTTATTTTATTTTATTTTATTTTATTTTATTTTATTTTATTTTATTTTATTTTATTTTTTATTTTATTTTATTTTATTTTATTTTATTTTTTTTTTTTTTTTTTTTTTTTTTTTTTGCCCCCTTCCCTGCACAAGCAGCGCCCAGCAGCAGGGAGCACCTCCGGGACCCCACCAGCACCCGCACATAAAACCGCTCTGTAGCAGATGGTGGCCCAAAACGGGTGCTTTCCAACCCAAAAAGGCGATGGCTTCACCTCCACGTTTTGGGGTCACCCTGATGGGCCCCATGCAAGGCCAGCATCCCTTGGGTGCAGGAGCGAGCTGGGACCGGGCTGGGCCCCGCGTGCCGACGTCGCACCCGCGGCACGGCCACCGGCACCGCGCTCCCGCCACGCTCTTCCCGTGCTCGCACTGGGGAGCCAGGCAGGAAAAGCTTTTAAGCAGAAATCCTCATTGTTTCCACCCAGCGGGGTGGCCATTCAGCCTCCAAACATACGGAGGGCTGGGTTTCCAGGAGGAAATTTCCCTCCAGACGCAAGGGGATGTTAAAAAAAAATAATAAAAATAAATAAAAAAAAATGCTGCGTTTGGCCTGAAAGCTCGGGGGGTGGAGGAGGAGGAGGGTTTCTCGGCGAGGTGTGGCCCAGCCGCCCCATGCGTGGGCTCGGCGGGCACAAATATTTGTGTGGATATTGAGGAGTGGGTGGGCGCCGGGGGGAACAAAGCGCGGACGTGGCGCATCCCCGCAAACAATGGGGCCGGATATTTCCCGGTGGGAGCAAGGCCTGGCGATGGAGCTGGCTCACATCCTCCTACCTGCGGGCCCTGCACTGCCCGGGTGGGCTCGCGGTGCCACCGGGACCCCGATTCACGTTCTGGGGGGGGTTTAAGGGGGCTCTGCCCCTGCCCTCTGGTGCCATGGGCGTCCCGAAGCCCCTTGGGTTGACTCGCACCCATCCCTTGCGTCCGCCTGGGATGTGGCACAGGGGTCACCGCCCTTCCCAGGGCTTGCATTTTGCCTGACCCCTTTTTCCAATCAAATTGCTCCCAAATCCTTCCTCCCCAAGGGTCGCAGCGGTTCCTAGCAGCATCCCCAGAGCACCATCATCCCCAAAGCACTGCCCCCCTGCAAAGCCCCCGGCCGCCC